GAGTGAGTGAGTGAGTGAGTGAGTGAGTGAGTGCGTTAGTTTGTGCGTTTGTGTGTGCATGTGTGTGTGCGTGTGCTCATGCATGTGCACCTATGTTACTTTATGTATATGTATGTATGTCTGTATACGTATGTAGTTTTGTCTATGATTTCTCTCCACTAATTGCAATTCATTTGTGATAGAATATTTATTTTTACTGTAAGTAAGGTCATTAAGCTTTCTTTTTATTAATAAGGGAAGACCATACATGTATGTTGAAGTTTTATATTTCCTCAGAATAACTCCAGGTCTGGAGGCCCCCCCTACCCCTCCCACTAAATCAGCAGGGAGTGTCAGGACTGTGACTAGTCTGGATAAAGCTGGTGATGCAGAATCCAAAATCAGTAATGGTGCAGATAAAAAGAAGACTGGGGAGTTCAAAAGCGAAAGCAACAAAGGCACAGATAATCAGCCAAAAGTCAGGAAGAAAGCGGCAGAAGTGAAACCCGTAAAAAAGACAAAAACATCAGCCAACCAGAATACTTCAAAGAGTGGATCAAGCACCAAGAGTTCACCAGTGTCCCCCTCAGGCCAAAAGTCAGAAGGCAAAGGAGAAAAAGAGATGAAGTACATCCCAGTCACTCCAGACAGCAAGAAAATCATGAAGATAGCGGATTTAAGTGCCCTTGGCATGAGCCCAAACACGCCAGCTATTAACAAGAGGAACAGCAAAGGAGAAACTCCCCTTCATGTAGCATGTATTAAGGTAAATTGATTGTTTAGCTTTAAAAGGGTTGGAGTATGTTTGGTATGTACCGGTTGATTTAATTTGGTATATGCTTGTAGCTCAGTCTTTTATGTTCCCTATGAGACTTGATGAAGCATAGTGAAATGGTGTTCATCTCGTGTGTTCTTAATTTAGGTTTAATTTGTTAAGTTTATGTAGTAGATTTTTTCTATTTATAGGGTGATGCTGTAAAGGTTCAGAGTTTACTGTCAGAGGGAGCCAACCCAAACACTAAGGACAATGCTGGATGGACTCCATTGGTAAGTCTTTACTTGTGGTGTATAGTTGGACTCTTTTACATCTGGAGTTCAAGTATTTGTTTTTGGCAATGTTGTCATTTTATTTTATTTTATTTATTTTATTTTAGTTATTGATATCATTTATATATTTAATACTATTATTTTGTTTGAGTGAGTGTGAGTGTGTAAGTGAGTGTGAGTGTGTAAGTGAGTGTGAGTGTGTAAGTGAGTGTGAGTGTGTAAGTGAGTGTGAGTGTGTGAGTGTGAGTGTGTAAGTGAGTGTGAGTGTGTAAGTGAGTGTGAGTGTGTAAGTGAGTGTGAGTGTGTAAGTGAGTGTGAGTGTGTAAGTGAGTGTGAGTGTGAGTGTGTAAGTGTGTGTGAGTGTGTAAGTGTGTGTGAGTGTGAGTGTGTGTGAGTGTGTAAGTGAGTGTGAGTGTGTAAGTGAGTGTGTGTGTAAGTGAGTGTGAGTGTGTAAGTGAGTGTGAGTGTGAGTGTGTAAGTGAGTGTGTAA